AAAAAAGGACTCACAAATTCATAATTACTCTTTTATTCCATTACCAACAGTATTACATTATGCCGAAACAATGTATATTATCTATAATATGTATATATATATATCTTCATTATGTATAATTAAGTAGTAGTAGCAGTGAGTCTTAAGTAGGCGAGTCGATAGATTTTCAAAAGTTAAACAGCATTAGGTACGCGTTGTGTTGAATTAGCCCACTCCCTCCCCCATCCCCCAATTCAAGCCCCCGCATTCCCATATTTCTCGATTAATCCATTAGTTTATTAATGTTCAATTACGATAGATTCATTTGGCATAAGTCTAATTGAATTCCTAGGACCGTTATCACCCCCACCGAAATCCCAAAATATCGATTTCGCACTTTATCCGTTAATTTTTTAATTCACCTACTTTATGTATTCTTCCTTAATTACTTTACTTGTTTATTAGTTGTTTAATAATTGATCTCATTTGTAAACACAGCAGATCGTTGATTCATTAATTGCGTAAATAATTCATCAACAAGTCCGTTGATTCGATTAATTTTTTTTTTTTACAGAAAACAATTGGAAAATGATTGTTCAGTTTATTGAACGATTGGAGGTTATTGATTGGAATCAATCGATGAAATGATTAAATCTTCGCGGAAGGAATGAGAAATTAATTGGGATTTTAAGAAGGCAGAGGTTACAGTGATAATTAAGAAGAGACTAGACAATTCCTCAGTTTTTCTCTCCCTTTCTCTTTCTCACCTCGAGATTTGTTTTGTGCTAGTTATTAATTGGTTTTTCGATTGGAGATTAATTTTTTTTCGTCTTTCCTCAACAATGATATGCATACAGGAGTGAGGCCACGAGTGTCGTCAGACTGAGATTGGAGGTGCGACGAATATCTGCCCCAGAATCGTTTCTACCTGGTTTCTTCCGTTTGCCTTTGGATTTACCGCGTCTTTTACGTGTGTATATGGCATTCGTGGAATTTGTGGGTGAGTCGACATTGCAGTAACTCATGTCACAGCAGCTTATGCAGATCTGCGAAAACATTCATTTTTTCACTTAATTAAAACAATATTCTCCCATTAACCATTTCATACTCCCACTATCCCCGATTTATCCACCAATTTCCAATTTCCAATAATCTCCAATAATAATACAATAAAATTAAATGTTCAATATTCAACACAATTGTTTTTTTTTCTCCCTCAAATTTAGACGTATCAAAAATAAAAAATGAAGTAATTCAGCTGACAAATAAGCCTGCGAGAAATCCAGGAATATAATAAAATCTAAGAAAGATAGAGAATTTTTTATCAGGACCTTTTTTCTAGACTGAAATGAGACTTACAAAAAAAGGTAATTACAAAAAGTCGCAATCCGTCTTAAATTCGCAGATATTCCAGAAGAACTAGACCCCGGCCGTTGAATTAATGCATGAAGATTAAGAGAAGGTGGAAATGGCGTTGTAAATGAAAAAAAAAAAAAGTAAGGGTCTTTTGATGGGAATACTATAAATGATGGGTCATACTCTCTGAGTGTCGACGGGCACACAACCGACCGATGCTGGCCCACACTCGGCACTGCTGGCACAACTTTTACTGACCTGCACGATAAAACAGACAAGCCTGCATTACCATCCCTTAAAAACCCAGGGATCTATTCCCCAATTGCGATTCCCTGGGATATACTCGAGTAACCCCATGACCTTTCCGCGAATTGGGTCATCGGGTATTCTCGAAATACCACTGGTGAAAATTGACGTTTCCATAATAACTGAAGTGGCTGAACCGGAGATATGAATATGGAATCTTTGATTTGATGGATTACCAGGGACTTCAATATAAAAGGTCAATGAACTTTCCCGTAATGGAATGATTTTATCCAAATCAATGGTCCCTCAAAATATAACACGTTCAGAGTCCTTCAGTGATTTGAATGCATTAAAAAATCTCATCGTGCAAATGAGATTTTTTTTTTTAATTTGAGATAATTTAGAACTCACTAGAACACTGTTGCCACGACTGTCAAGAATATGCAGCGATCGACAGAAGTCTCGGCCACCGGTGGGACAAGGGGTGTCTATAGCCCATTTATTACACATCTGTAAGAATAAAAAGGGGAAAAAATACCGGTGGAATTTTCAGATTAAAGAGAATTCCCCAAAATCCGCAGAGCGACATAAAATTTCATTTCTCAAATTCGATTTGAGTCTGATGTGACGCTGACAATTCACGAATCAATCGAAAAGTTGAATAGACATTCTCCCGCGAGTATTGGGCGTTAAAATTGGAATTTCCGGGAGACTGAGGTGAAAATCGAGGGTTTTATTATAAATTCCGGGATGCAAGTGTCGTACCGCAAATGAAACTGAGAGAAATAGTTAAGGGTGAAAATATTGGAAGTCGATTGAGAGTGGGGGGAAAATGTAATAAGGGGGGGTGGATGAATTTTCACGGGGTGGATATATTAGTTTGCTTGGGGGTTGGATGTGGCCTCTCAAAATAGAACAGGGGTATCGATAAGACGTCGTGAAATAAATCAACTGGCGGGGTTGTCTGGGCTTCACCAAAACGAGCCTTCGGGGGCTGCGGACAAGAATGGGTGAAAAGAGCCGTGGAATCGAGTGAGAGAGACTCTTCTATGTGAGGGAAGGTCTCTGGACCAACTGCGATAGGGGTATTATATACTCTAGGGTAGTGTTTAATGGAGCCGTCGATACCTGGTTATCGCTGACGTTGACGCAAGTGTAGCACGTTAGACCTGCAACAAAAAGTCAATTAACCCATTATTATTTGACCCTTTAACCCACTCATTATTCTAAGATAACAGGGACACAAAAAAATAATCCTGCTAATTAACGCCCACCGTCAATCAAATTATTATTTTATCCTGTTAAACCCTAAAATGTCACTGAATGGCTTGGAGAATGGAATTGAAAAAAAAAATGCCAAACCATCCGGATATCGACGAACGTAAAGTTTATTATTTATTGTCAACGATTTATCAAGTGACTTTGAAGAATCTGGAGAGTTAGAGATTTAATTTTCCGCTCGAAAAACATAATTTCCATAATTTGAAATGTCCCGTAATTTCTCGAAATATATTATAACTCGGTGGAAACTCGTGAAATTGTCGCATGCATCAAGTAAAATCTAAATCTCAACTCTGGAGTGCATCCAGAACTGGCAAATCTTATTAAAAAAACTTGTGGATTTATCTTGAAATTGCGTTAGGCAAAGAGGTCTAAATGGAAAGGGTCAAAACTTTAAATTGATTTATCCTGAAAATGCCGGAGTGGGGGGAAGTTTATCGATCTAATTTCCGGTATGGGTTGAGAGAGACTGGACGGTTTCCGGCCGAGTGGAATGGCTGATCCATTGAGGTAAGAGTCTCCTCAAAGATTAATGTCACCCCAATCGTCAATTTCCCACGATCTCAAAAGATAAATTAATATCCCTCCAAGTACGAAGCACCCACCATAATTTCACCGGCAGCCAGTCCAGTACTCTGGGTTAATGCATGGAGATACGCCCTCGGTCCTGGGGTTTTGCCGAGTGCCATGCATTATTAATACTAAAAGGTCGCTTCTCCAATTCAAATGGCTAGACTTTTGGCAAAGAAACATTTTGGCACATACGATCTTTTAGTTTTAAGCCTGATATCATCCATGAATTATTCATACGGACCCAATTCCGTGGACTTAACGTAAATAATTGAGTGATAACCCCCAGAGTCAGGTATTGATTATTTATTTATTAACCGGAGGGATGACGAATGAGGCCCCTCTTCAAAAATCAAAAACGAAAATATCAACTGAAGCTGCGGAATTATCGAAAAAAAAATTGCATATGAAAGTTCATGAAAAGAGCCATTCGCGAAATTTCGTGGCTTTGAAAAAAAAAAAAAGATATGGATAATTCACTCACGATATGTGTCCTCCTCGTCTGGCCTTTTCACTCCATTCTGCTTGGTTTTCAACTCGTCCCTGCCAACCTCGTTTTCCGATACGAGATTCTTGCCGCATGTGGTTTCCGCAGCTAGGAGCAGCCCTACCATAACCCACGTGATCATTCCTCACATCTCTGTAACAAAATAAATTATTGATCTTTAAACCCTCCAGAAACTGCCTAGCATCTGTTCATTCATTTCAATTTCAATCCCAGTGCCTCAACTTCACTGAATTATCAAATAAATTTCTCACACCGACTACCAAATTCTATAATTAATTGCGTTAATAATTAAATTGGAGCAATACGTGGAGTAATATTCTGGAAATGTTAATCTGGATGTTTAGAAAGCAATGACCCACGAGAGATAAAATATTAAAAAGTCATAATCAAGCGTATGTTGGTGATGGGTAATCCTGGAGTCTACTTGATCCGGATTATGATAAGTGTAGTCAGTGAGTCCTCGAAGGGTAGATTTCCGGCAAAAGCGATCGTCGTAATTCCCCAATCCTCCCCCCAGATCAGGATCCTGTGGCCTCAGCTCCATCTCTATCCAGGGTACACATCTCATCGGTCCACAGATAGATTCTAGAATTGCTTGTGGAGGCCAAAACCCAGTGAAGGAGATACTCTTGAGCCAATGGTAAACGGTTAAGAGACATTGCACTGTCCCCGGGGCCGTTTTAATCCCGGAAAATCGATGGTAAAAAAGAAAAACCCCAAAGACGAGAGAAGTGGAAAAAGTAAAAGAACATGGTGGACTATCCCCGAGAGTACGAACAGCGTCCATTTTCACAAAGAAGTAGAAATGAGAGGAAAAAATGTCGAGTGTCCGTCTCATCCCCTTCCTCTCTGTATCACTTTCCTTTCCTCCCTTTCCTCCCTTTCCTCCCTTTCCTCCCCCTCCTCCCCCTCCTCACCCTTTTTTTTTACCCTTTCACCGCCCTTTTAACGTACCTGAAAATTACTTTTCGACTTCGGTGTTATTCTCGTTGAACTTAATGACTTTAATTGAAGAGAGTGATTAAGCGGAATTTCGAGGGTTTGAAGAACGCGTCTCATTTTTTTTTTGATAATTACTATGGGCATTTTAAGAAGAAATTACTGTAACTTCATAAAATCAGTCGCGACTGGTAATGACTTTTTAATTCTTCTTCCGATACTCGCGCCCTGGGGATAACTCTTTAATATTTTCTGAGTAATTTAATCTGTACATTAATTGTTGAAGAATGCGGTGAGTGGTAAATATTTAATTGAATGTAAGTTCGTGTCCCTCGTGCACATTTCTGTTTTATATGGGTTAAACTTTCTCATTCTCTTTTACGATGTTTCTTTCAAACCCAAAACAATTTGTTGTGTCTGGGATAGCGTGAGGTGTACGTCAGTATGCGTAATTTCCCGGGAGGAATCCCATTTGCTACTCGTTGGAGAAATCATTCGACTGCACTCTAGTATTTTCTTGTGTGAAGGAGCAAAACTAGATGCTCTGCCTATTTTCAATGCACATCTTGATGTATTGAACTTTGTTCCACTTCAATGCATCTTCCCCCTTTCATTATTCACGTGGGGTAGAAATATTCTCTTATTTCGTGCAATGAGAGAATTCTTCGGATAGACATCAATAAATTCCAATGGATTCCAAAAAGGCAGAAAAAAATTACTCTCCGCAAATAAAATTCACCCACTACAGGAAAATATTTTCCTCGAGCATGTAAAGCTGTTTAAAAAATTAATTATCCATGGGTACTAAATATATTTTTTTTTCATTTGACTGGAAAATGAGTAGTTAGAGAAAATAAAATGGGTAATGCATCAGCTGAAAATAATTTGGGCTTTCTAAAAGCTTTCCAATGGCCACAGCTCGTGAATTTTTATCAAAGAAAAATATAGGAGGTAAAAATAAAGGAAGAAAATTACCACGAGTGAAAAAGAGACGGATGAAAAGACTCGGGCCAATCATTGCGCTTCGGAAAATCCACCTGGTGAGTAGAAAACGGCCAATTAAAATTACCGTTCAGTGGACCCCATCACTCCTCGCCACCTTGATCCACTGGCTTCGACATTGGAAAATGAAAATTTCTCCCTTTTTTTCCGAGTGTTCATTTTTTACCTCTCCTTTTTCTCCATTCTTTCTCGATCCCTGAGGTGTTATTTCAGCCTGGGAACTATTTTTTTTTTTATCAGTCTCTCTCATTTTTTTTTCTCACTGCACATTCCCTCAATTTTTCCTCTCTTCCTCTGCCTTTCTGACAACCATTAGCACACACATCCGAACTTGCACCCGACCTTTTCCAAATGAGAAGGAAAAAAGGGAGACATTTTTTATTTTTCCATTTTTTTTTCTTGCAAAAATCTGCTCCGGTCGTACGAGAAAAGTATTTCGAGAAGTTGTGAATTTTCTTCGCTCATCTCGCCCGGAAAATTCAATCCAAATAAATCGTATTCCTCGCATTACAAATCTCCTCTTTCGATTCAGAGAAATTCATTCAAATGGAATTCCTCGATACACCCAGAGCTCCCGATTTCGTATAAATTAACTCGAGAACTATAAAAGAGAAATTCCGTGGAAATTTTTACAGACGATTTATTTGAGAAACAAATGGTCTCACTGAATTGTGCACCATAAATTTTCCGAGAGACTAGAGAAAAATACCATTTCAATTCGTTGAGAATTGAAAAAAAATTCTCTCATTACTCTCCAAGATGATTATCCGCGATAATCCAGCCGCTGAAGAGGTGCATTCTCATTTTTCCCCCCTGAAATGAATCCCGCAAATACATTTAAAAAAAAAAAAAGAAGATATTTAATCACAAAGCCAGATTATCGTTATTCCCGATAGAACTGTCAAAAGCGTAAAAACTGCTTTAATCCCCTTAATTAAATATTTCACCCCTAGAAAACATATCTCCCTCGAAAAAACGACTGATTAAAATGTAGTTATTAATTAAACCCGGCAGTAATGATATTTATTTTATCATCCTAATGGCAATCTTGGGTTTCTTCCCTATACGTTTCAGCTGAGAGTGCATCCCTCCGAATAATTCGCAAAATCCCTTGCTCTTGGCACCTTAAAACCCTCTGTTTTCTCATATATATTTTCCATTTTCCATTTTCCATTTTCCGTTAAAAGGTTCGCCGTAATGATAATTCCAAGAAAGTACAAACTACCGTTAAAAAAATTATCAAAAAAATTGGGATAAATTGAATTATCAATACAATCAATAATTATTTTTCCAATAGTAAGAAAAATAATTACCTTTACCAATAAAATTAATTCAGTAGCAATATCTTTCGTCAGTCCATAATCCAGAAGATATAACAAATACAATTGAGGGGGGAAATTTATCGCCGAAATAAAACTAGTGTGGATGAAATAAATAGGAGCATTCTGTCTTATCTATTTTGACAAATGTAACCACTTGTTTTGTTTCAATGAGTGCAATAAAAAAAAATGGCAAACAATTCACCTCATGGTCGTTAGCCATTCGATGCCTCTTACTTTTGTAGTGAAACTTGAAGGGACTGTTCTTTTCCTCTAGACTATCTTTTATGTTCTCTATCTCTTCTCCGTGAATTGCGTGTCCCATTGAGTCCAAAGCGTGTAAAGCAGACGTTCTACTGGGGATGGAATGGAGAGTGAAGAAAAGATGAGGTGAATGAGGGAGAGGATAAAAGCAAATTCATATTTCCTTTTTTGCCTTCGGTGGCTTTTTTTTTCCGTCATTCACTCTTTCCTTCGCATCTCCTGTAATGATTCCTCTAAAAAAATACTACTATCCATTTCTCTCCACACTAGGCTATTTTCCTCGATAAGTCCTTTTCCCTCATTTTCCTAATTTTTGTCATTACTGGGATAATTGGGTCGATGGATAATTTTTGTTCACTCGCTGTTGCTCGTCTCGAAAATGATAAATGCTTGGTTTTATTCAATCCGCCATTGTGAAAAATTCATAATTTTTAATGTGGAATTGAACGAGTAATTTTCTATTTCGTACGTCAACGTAACAATGGTCGACAGTTCTTTGTGAATATCGTGGGAAAGTGGTAGATTATGAATTTTTTAACGTATCGTTTGATATTTCGGGTAGAATTAATTCCATACTCTGCACAATTGAAAATTTGACAAAGCTGAAATTTTATAAAGCTAAAACCGGAAGAGCTGAAGATTCATCCACCGCACAGAAAGAGAAATTCAATAAAAAATTGTGGATAGCAACAAAAATTTTTACCTTCCCCAAAAAATCTACATCTCGGAATGACGCCAACTATTTCTCTATTATCCCTGAGCATTTTCCTTCGCGTATCGATTTGAAAAAAAAAAAGTGGCTGATGATCTTTGAAAGGTATCCCGCGGAAATAAAATATGGGTTAATTAATTCCCTCGAATCCACCCCACATTTTCTTCACTCGGCCGCTCATAAAAATTTCACACCGCGGAGAAATATCCGTGCTTCATTTTTCCTCAATAAAAATTTACGACGCGAATGAATCATTGAGAATAAAAAGTCCGAACACGGGATTATTCCCAGAGGTGGGAGTATGGACTAGGGCAAAAAGAGCCGAAGAAAATTCAATAATTCGTCCAGAAATTTCTTCGGCTGCCTCATTTTTACCTCGGAGATGGGGTTGCATTATCCTCTGAGGGCTGCAAACACAGAGCTTTGACAAATGACTGTCTACCCTTTCTGGGGTGCTGTTTTTCTTTTTATTTTTATTTTCTTCTACCCCCTCATCACAAACACTGTTTTGCCTTTTCCCGGAATACACGGCTGGCGCCCCCTATTGAGGCCATTGAGTAATCAGCCTAACCAAGCGCCAGAAAGGGTTGCCTAGGGTCGTTGAAAAAGGCATATGAAAAAAAAAAAAAAAAACAAAAAGAAGGAAAAAAAAAGCGGATACCATTGCTGGGGATGTTTTCACGGAGCACTCATGCCAGCGTATATTGGGAGCTTTATTCCCGTTATTCGCGAAATCCGTGTGGAGATTCTTCGGGTCAAGGATGTGGAACGGATAGGCTTGAGGACAATGCATGTTTCATTTTTTCGCCTGAATTTTTTGCCGAGTAAGAGAATGACGAGTGAAGATGAGGAAATCGTCGATCGTGTAACGAATAACTCGCCACTGACTAGAAATT